GTTGTTTTTTGTTTTTGCTATTATATGAGTTATTTATATATTTTGGATATTAGCCCTTTGTCAGATATATGATTTACAATTATTTTCTCCCATTCAGTATGTTGCCTTCTCATTTTGCTGATGGTTAGTGCAGAAGCTTTTTAGTTTGATGTAATCTTACTTCTTATCTTTATTTCTGTTGGTTTTGCTTTGGGTTTTGAATTTAAAAAATCATTGCCAAGACCTGTGTCAAGGAGCTCATCTTCTGTATTTTCTTCTAGGAGTTTTATGGTTTCAGGTCTTACATTTAACTCTTTAATCCATCTTGAGTTAATTTTTGTGTATGGTGTCAGATAGTGAGCCAGTTTCATTAATTTGCATGTGGCTATCCAGTTTTCCCAACACCATTTATTGAAAACACTGTCCTTTCTCCATTGTATATTCTTGGCTCCTTTGTCATAAATTAGGTGACCATATACATGTGTATTTATTTCTGGGCTCTCCATTCTGTTCTATTGATCTATGGGTCTGCTTTCATAACAATACTATCCTGTCTTGATTACCATAGCTTTGTAATATAGTTTGATATCAAGGCAGTGGTGCCTCCAGCTTTGGTCTTCTTTCTCAAGGTTGCTTTGACTATTGAAGTCTTCTGTGGTTCATACAAATTTCAGGATTATTCCATTTCTTTGAAAAAGATCATTGGAACTTTAGGGATTGCATTGAATCTGTATACTGCCTTTAGTAGTATGGACACTTTAACAATAGTAATTATTAATTAATATTAATTTTTAAATATCTTTCCATTAATTTGTGTCTTTACCAATTTCTTTAATTAATGTCTTATAGTTTTCAGTATACAGGTATTTCACCTCCTTGGTTGAATTTATTCCCAGGATTTTATTTTTTCATGCATTTATAAATGGAACTGTTTTTTATAATTTCCCTTTCTGATAATTTGTTATTAGTATATACAAACACAACAGAGTTTTGGGTATTGATTTGTTTTGGATTCTGTGTCTCCCTCTCTCTCTCTCTGTCCCTCCCCCACTTGCTCTCTGTCTCTCTCTGTCTCTCAAAAACAAAAGTAAACATTAATAAAAAAAGATCTCATTGTCTTTGGTGTTTTGTCATGTCATTATGATGTACTTACGTGAGCCTCTCTTCAAGAGGTAGTATCATATAGTGGCTAAGAGCATGAATTCAGGATCCAAATTGCCCTATAATTTCCCAATTATGAAAATTTAGGCATATTATTTAAGTTTTCTGTGCCTCAATTGCCTAACACGATGTGAGGATAAATACTTGATATATATAAATTGCTTAAAATTCTGTCTGGCTTGTGTTGACCACTTTTTCTTTGTTTGTTTCTTTTTTTAATCCTTTTTTTCTTGCTTGTGACTCATTGAACTTCCTGATTCTATGATCCACTGTCTTTCATCGTTTATACGTTTAAATATTTCTGTATTCTCATTCTTTCTGTTATATCCTGAAACACTGACTGGACTTCATTGGGGTGTTTTGTTCTATCATACAAGTCTTTTAATCTCTTATTTTTTCAGATAGTTCTTCCCATTCGCTAATTCTTTCTACAACTATTTCTAATTTGCTGTGTGATCAGTTCTTTCAGTTTCTAATTTCATTTCTAGAACCTCTATTATTTTATTTATCAAATCTCATGGATTTTGGTGGTTTCTCTCTGTTTTTTTTTTTTTTTTTTATGCCTTAATTTTATACTATCTTTTTTTAAGACATGTCAAACATATTGCTTTATTTTTATCAGATAATTCTAACATCTGGTGACTAAATGTCTGATGCTATAGTTTTCACTCAGACAGCTTGGTTTCTCCTACATGTCTAGGGATACTTCCTGGAATGTCAGCTGTGGGAATTCCCTGCAATTTGTTAACTGCATTTCTCCAGAGAGGATTTGCATTACTTCCTCTGCATTTGGTTAAGGCCTGAGATTATGATTCAGTACTATGTGCTGCATTGACATCTGACAACTGGAGGGCCTTAAACGGTCTAAGCATAAGTCTCCTTCCCTCCTCTACTCCTCTAAAATTCCCTACTTATCAAGCAACCCTACTTGTCATGGAGACCATGCACAGTGCCTGCTTATTCCCAAGTAGCAGGTTTTAGTTTCCTGACAGGCTACATAATTACGCAAACAAGCCAGTCACATCCTTTCACAGGAGATGGAAGTCACCATAGCCTCTTAATACTACAGAGATTGACTCTCACAGCCCTTGTTTTCACTGTTTGCGAGTGCAACCATGTGTGACCCCGCATGACACAGGGTCCTCCTCCCCCAGGCTGTGAGTATATATGATTAACAAACTTCTGCCATCTTCTCTGTCCAGTGTTGCATGCCCAGTTTTCAGCCATCCTCATACCCTTAGGACAGGAAACCCTCCCTCACCAATAGGATGAAGAGAAGGCAAATAAAACACAGACCTCTGAGGTCCCTGCCAAAGTATGACACTTCAACCAAGTTTCTGTCTTGAGAGTTTAGACACCATCTGGTAATGTTAATCCAGGCCTCAACTTCAAGTGTAAAGCATAGCTTATACCCTCTAAGAAAGTATTTTTTCTCACTCTTTTTCTTCTTTGCCCAGAGTCAAAGACAAGATGCACATGCACCCGCCATCTCTCTAAGGAGTGTGTTTGTTTTTTAATGTTTATTTATTTTTGGGAGGGAGAGAGCGAGAGACAGCGACAGAGAGACAGAGATCGAGTTGGGGAGGGACAGAGAGAGAAGGAGACACAGAATCCGAAGCAGGATCCAGGCTCTGAGCTGCCAGCACAGAGGCTTGAGCTCTGTGGGGCTTGAGCTCACAGACCACAGGATCCTGACCTGAGCCGAAGTCTGCCGCTTAGCGGACTGAGCCACCTAGGAGCCCCTCTAAGGAGTGGAGGAGTGGAGAGCCCCTTAGCAATTCCCCTCTGTAGGTGAATTTCTCCAATTTGACATTTAGCCATGTTCAGTCTTGTGGTTTATTCCTACCCCCGACACACAGGACTTACCACATCCATTCAAAGCTACCCCCAAGTGAAACACTAATGCTTGTGCTTAATTACTCCATATTTTGTCCCTTTCCTGCCCTTTCTGCAAAATTTAATTTTTTCTGTAGTTTTATTATTTTTATGTTTTTATTTTAATTCCAGTGTGGCAAAATTTACTTCTTGCTCTATCATGCATTATATATATTTTTGCTTATATATTACACATATGCGGGTTTTTTGGTTATACCAGAAGTTTTCTAAACATTACTCTTTCTTTCTTTCCCTCCATCCCTCTTCCTTCCCATGCCTACCTCTCTCTCTTTCTCAATCTCTCTTTCTCAATTTCTCTCTCTGTCTCACTCTCTGTCACACACACACACACACACACACACACACACACACACACTACAAAACTTGTACCTGTCTACATGCCATTATGTGTTCCTCAAGCACGTGATTATATTGGCTCCACAGCATTTAATCAGAGACATGTAGATAATTTAGCTACTTTCTATTTTCAGAAATTAAGATTTCACAAGTCTTAATATTTTTACAGTTTTAAATAGTGCCACAACTAATATTGTTGTATACAAAAAAACTTTGAATCTTTGATTATTTTCTTAGAATAGATTCTTGGATGTTATTATCCTGACAAAGGGTATGAACTCTTTCAGGGCTCTTGATGGATTTTGCCAAATTGCTTTCTAGAAAGGTTGTAGCAATTTACAATTCACTGCAGTATGTGATAGGTGAAGAGTGCTGTCTCTTCGGTGATTTAATGTGCATTTCCTGATTACTCGCGAGGTTAGACATTAACTGAATGCACTATATGTTTAGCGAATTCCCTTGTAAGAGTTTCAGGTGATTTTAATTATCCTGTTTGAAGCTTCCTTCTTCACTCAAAATATTTGTGAATCTTTCTCTAAGCATAACGCTGTGTTAAAACTAAGGATTAGCTCAACGGCCCAGCATACTTCAATACCCATGGCATAACTGGAGTACAAGGGGACAATTATGTCATGATGCAAGGAAATGTAGCGGCAAATGAAGGCTTCTGCTCGGCAAACCCACTGCTGTACCAAAGCAAAGATCCTTATTTCGCTGTTTTGAATAATCAAAAGGAGGCTTAATACAATTTCATGCTTTCTATTGAAAAGGAAAATACCATATTGAAATCTGCCTTTAAATGATTTTTAATTTGGCTATTTTACAGTTAATATTGTTCCTCCACCCCAGGGGTGTTTGGGAACCATTCAGCATGTCTATTTTCCATACCAATATCTTGCTAAAATCCACTGCTGGTTTCCATTATCTCTGGGAAGGGATCTGCTAATTGTCACCTAAAGGAATTCTGAGATATTATTTAACACACTTACAGTTTAATACAATGACAGTAAAACCATCAGCTTTCCTCTTAGCTTTATATATCACCTTCTTATGAAATTAACTCTTCCCTTCTAAAAATATTCTTTCCACGTGAAACATTCCTTGGACCAGTCATTTGTCTTTTTGTTGTAGTATCATCCATGACAATTTCTCATCTTGGTGAGGACCACTTATGTGAAACTGTGGCCATCTCAATGAAATTTTATGATATCCCCACCAGGATGCTCCTTGAAGCCTCAGATAAAAAGCCTTTCATCTCTTCATTCCCTTTGTATCCAGAGACAGAGGGTCAGTTGACCACGGATGCTGCAGGCAAGAACAAAAACATGTGCACACATCTCATTGGCACCAGAGAAGAAAAGGGAAATAAATATATTTCCATTTGAAATAATACAACTAGGTAAAACCTAACGCATGAAAAAGTAGACTGCGTACCAAGCAGCTCTTTTATTGGGAGAATAATTTTTGTTTTGTTAGGAAAATTTTTACACTACTTTCTGGCTGCACTGGCTTCATGAAGGGTCTGTTTGCATTGTAGGTTGCCAGAACTAAGAAGCGTTTTGCCTAATCTCAGTTGCTTCAGGCCTAATCCTGGTAGATGTGATGAGCTACTGCATACACCACTTATGGCAATTTAAAGAAAACCATATCTTTATTGAAAAAGAGAGAAAAAAGAGAAGAAAGAGAGGGAGGGAAAGAAAGAGAGAGGGAAGAATGTCCAGGGTAGCCAGGCAATGCTCTCTTCTCAGCGGGGTTTGCTTGTCCATCCCTAGTCAGCTTTGCTGATCTTGGCTGATCTCTTCCAGGATGCTGGCTTCAGCTTGTTCTCATGGTAGGAGCAGAGGGAAGGGAGAAAAAAGAAGAATAGTTGTGTGCAAGGCCTCTTGAGTCCAAAGCTTGAAACCAGCATGTTGCAGTCACCACCATTTTCTAGAGTTCAGAGTAAATTCCAATATTAATCCAGACTTAAGAAATAGGGAAATGGACTCTATGTCCTGATGGGAAAACCTGCAAAGTTGTGTTTCAAAGACTATGGATAAGAGACAGGTGAAGAATTGGGGCTATTTTGGAAATCTATCAAAATGGTAACAATTAGCTACTATAAAGTTGCATACATTATTCCTCCCAATTTTTCCTTAAGTTTGTCATATCCTACTGTATCATTTTATTTATTTTTTAAGTTTATTTATTTATTTTGAGGGAGAGAGAGAGAGAGTATGGGAGGGGCAGAGAGAGAGACAGAGAGAATCCCAAGCAGGTTGTGCACTGTCAGTGCAAAGCCCAACATGGGGCTCAAACTCACAAACCTTGAGATCATGACCTAAGCCAAAACCAAAGGTCAGCTGCTTAGCTGACTGAGCCACCCAGGTGCCATATGTATGTATATATATATATATATATATATATATATATATATATATATACACACACACACACACACACACACACACACACACACACACATACACTTAAGAGAGAGAGAGACAGACAGAAAGAGAGCATGCACAGGTGGGGTAAGGGCAGAGGGAGAGAATTTATTTATTTATGTTTATTTATTTTTGAGAGAGGAAGATTGTGAGTGGGTGAGATACAGAGAGAGAAGGGGTCAGAAGATCCAAAGTGGGCTCTGCACGGACAGCAGTGAGCCCATGTGGGGCTCGAACTCACGGACTGTGAGATCATGACCTGAGCCAAAATCGAGTCGAATGCTTAATGGACTGAGCCACACAGGTGCCCCAATGCAATTTTAATAATAACAAATCATGCTACATTTACTTCCAAGTTTGTTATGTGAATAACTTTATTGATAGGCATCTTTCCAGGTCAGTATATACAGCTAAATCATTCCTTTACTACGTAAGGTTTAATAAATCCATGTATCATTATTTAAGCATTTCCCTACAGATGAAAATATACTTGACTTTTTTTCCCATTGCAAACATATCTTACAAGCATATTTTTGTATTCTCGTGCTTTCAGTTATAAAAGTTTGTTTCCTAGAAGGGTGATTTCTAGTTTATTTTTTTTTTAATTTTTTTTTTCAACGTTTATTTATTTTTGCGACAGAGAGAGACAGAGCATGAACGGGGGAGGGGCAGAGAGAGAGGGAGACACAGAATCGGAAACAGGCTCCAGGCTCTGAGCCATCAGCCCAGAGCCTGACGCGGGGCTCGAACTCACAGACCGCGAGATAGTGACCTGGCTGAAGTCGGACGCTTAACCGACTGCGCCACCCAGGCGCCCCAGGTGATTTCTAGTTTAAAGGGTATGTATATTTTTCACTTTATTACAGTAAATTTACTTTAAAGAAAAGGGTAATTTGGGTAATATATTTGTCAAAGTAATTAGTGCCAATTATTGGAACAGATAGCCCGAAACACAGTCACTTAACACAAAGAAAAGTAGATATGGGTCAGGCAGCCATCTTGAATAGCTCTCTACATGGTTACTAAGGAACCTCACCTCCTTCACCAAGTGTCTCCACCGCCTTAAAGAGTGGCCTCAGAATTGCTTTACTAGTTCCTGTGCATTCAACAAGGCTCCCAGAAGAAAAAGAGTTAGAATAAGGAGATAGTGGGAGATATTTTAAGACCAAGGCTTGGAGCGTCTTATTTCTCTTCTGCTAATATTCCTTTTGCCAAAACTCAGTCACGTAGCTTCAATATAAGTACAAGGGAAGCTGGGAAATGTAGTTTTCTTATGTGCTCAGGACTAGGAACACTACTGATGAACATCTGCTCAGCTGGTGTCTCTGATGATACATTTTCTGTATGTGATACTTCTATTATTTTATTGTTATTATTTGAAAATCCTGAAATGCTCAAAAAGGAACAAATCTTGCTTAATGCCAGACCTTTTAAAATTGGAAAAATAGCAAATACTCCTTATCCATCCTGTCCCAACCCTACAGGTAAACACTGTTAATAATTTAGAGTTTGTCCTAGTTTGTTTCTGAAACATGTTTCTATTTACCAAGTATCTATCTGCTTATCTATCTATATCTGTTACATATGTACATGTTGGGGCTAAATCGTGTCCCCCAAAAGTTGTATTTTGAAATCTGAAGCAGTCTCAAAATGCAACTGTTTTTGGAGATAGAGTCCTTAAAGGGACTCTCTCCTAAAGGGAGATAGAATCCATTAAAGTAAAATGAGGTCATTAGGGTGGGCCTTAATGTGAATATGACTGGTGCCCTTGTAAGAAGGGGAAATTAGGATGAAGATATGCACAGAGGGAAGGCCATGTGAGGACATAGGGACGAGGAGGCATTTATGAGCTAAGGAGAGAAGACTCAGAAGAAGCCAATCCTGCTACCACCTTGATTTCAGGTTCTTAGTCCCCAGAATTGTGAGAAAACAAACTTCTGCTGTTGAAGCCCGCCCCCCCCCCCGATCTGTGGTACTTGGTTATGGCAGTGCTAGGAGACAAATACACTCTACATAATTACACATTAATTATAGGCTTTCAAACTCCTTCACATTCCCCATTGTACATAAACCTCCCCCCACCCCACTTTTTTTTTGGTTGCAAATAAATCATCTTAAGTATTTGCCTGTATACATTTTTTAAAAAGCAGTGACTTTCATTTACATTTTCTGTTTCTAGTGAGAATTAGAATTTTTATCACATGTTACTATTTACTTATTTGCATTTTTCCTTCTGTAAATTTACAATTTGTGCCATTTATCTATTTTAAAATCATTTTGTTCCCTTTATTTTCAACGCAAAGAACTCTGTATGTTATTTATAACAACACTTTGTCGTATATGTTGCAAAGATATTTCTCCCGATCTGCCGTTTATATTTTGACTTGGTTTGTGAGAATAGTTTGATTTATAGATGCTTTACATTTTCCTATTTCTTCATGAGTTTCCATTTGTTAGACACTATGCTGGTTGTTGCAGGATATAGCATAAGCAAGTCCGAATCTCTGTCCTCAGGAAGATTATAGTCTCAGGGTTGGCTGAGACAGGTACATAATTATGCGGAATCCCTAGCACCATATGGAAGACATCATGAGAGAACAAATACTCAAGCTGGGGCAAGAAGGTGAAGAAAGGCTTTACAAAGAGAGCATTCATGAAACATCTTGAAACACGATGTGAGCCAAAAAACATGTCTAAGTAGTACACGAGACATGTTTATTAAAGCCTCCCGCCCACAGAGTCTGAAATAGCAGCCACAAGAGTATTCCTTTGTTTGGCTGATGATGTTTAAGAGTAGCCTGGTGGGGGTGAGATGTGGAAATGGTAGGCAAGAAAAAGAGGGAAAGTGACTCGATCTCCCCTTTAGGCTCCTGTGAAAAGCTCAGAGAGGAGTAAACTCAGCAACGTGGCAGGGGCCGGCCTCTGGCCTCTGGGTTCCACCTCCTCTCAAATGCCCCAACCCAGAGCTGCAGGGGCGGGTGATGAAGTGTGGGTCCTCACCAATTCTGAAGGGCTCCCTGGACCTTGCGGCACAGCTAGGAGCACTCAGGGTCTTAAGTGCCCATGGGTCCCTGTGCTCTGAAGGCCCCGGGAGTCGTGTGGGCCACGCCCAAGAAAAAGCAGCTCTGTGTAGTGTTGCAGGGAGGGAGGGTCCGTGTGCAGAGGCACCCTGCCTGAGCGGGCATCCTGGCTAGCACTTTCCTACTCGGGGACTTCCCTACCTGGTGACTTTCCCTCTCTGTGCCCCAAGTTCTTCTCTGATGATTGGGACTGATAATAGGGCCTACCTCATGAGGTAAGAAATTAAGTGGGATAATACATACGAGGAGTTGAAGCCAGTGCCGACTCTTAAGGACTCAAGGCACATCAGAATTACTATTTTACAGTCTTTGTGAATCCCCCCACCAGAAAGGATATATTGTATTCTTATTAGGATCCTTGTTGTATAGATGGGGAAACTGAGCATCAAAAGATAGGATCTACTCCCCAAAGCCTGGCAGATAGCAGAACATGTATGGTGGGTCCCAGAACAAGGGTTCTACATCCCCCCACTGTGGTCTCCCCCACCAGAAAGCACACACTAGCCAAGAGTAGACAAGCGGTTTTTTTCTCCTCCCTTGGCAGAAGCTGTTGCTTTCATTGGGGTAGTTTCAAGGTAAGGAGAGCAAACCAAAGAGTGTCATCTGAAAAAGAGGGGGGGGGGGGGGAGAAATTTTCCTGAATATATTCTTCTAGGCTTATTTAATTATCCAGATAAATGAAACCTTAGACCTACTTTGATTCGGTGCCCATAGACCAAATATAAGGGCGAACTTACTTGCTGAAGTTGCTTTGCTGTGATCCTTCTTGGCCTGGAGCAGGAGGCCAACATTCCCCCACATAACCACGAAGTAGCACTTACGCCCATTGGAACTGGACCCCTCAGAAGGCAGCCAACAAAGGCAGTGGCCAGCGTGGTCAGGAGTTTTCCTTTCTGTACAATTCTTTTCCTGTCTGATCACTTGGCCAGGGGGATTATTTAATCTGATTTGTAGAGTCTGTAGCCTGCCAGGACCTCACATTCTCAACATATTTTAGAAAATACTGTAGAAAGGAAATTTTACACGGCCTGTAAAGGAGACTACCTCCTGAAGTTATGCTTCATAGAGAGCTGCCGCACTGAAAGGGCCCACACTGAAAGGGCGATCTCCGTCAAGAAGACGGTGGAGAACCGCACGTTGCCTTGAAACTCAAACGGTAAAAGCCAACTCCACTGCAAATAAGGAAGAATTACAGGCAGCTCAGGAGACTTTTGACACAGCAGTGAAAGGACCTTGCAGAAGGAGACTTTCTGCCATTTCTGTTCCCAAGAAAAGGCCCAGCCATGAAAGAAAAATAATTCAAATGTATCCCCAAATGCAGAAGGACATTCAATGCCGCTCCATTGCCTCAGCCAGTTCTTTCTCCTATTCTAAAAATGAATACAACAGCGCTTTCAATTAGAACAAGCAGTTGCTTTATGCGGGGACAGATTAAGTTAGTGTTATTTTTTTTAGACTCCCTTTTTGAATTTTCAAGTCCCAACACTGAGATGAAAAAGATGTTTTTCAGTTCCCCCACTTCTTCCAACTTCTCGAAGCCCAAAGATCCAGAATAAACCACCGAGCTCTAAGCCAGGCCTATTACAAATCCCACATCCTTGGCTTTAAACACACCTTTGCCACCTTGGAGCCATCGATCAGTGCGCAGGAGCCCAGGTCTTCAAATCAGGGATGCTCCGTCCAATGGTATGACGTAAATGTGATTCTATCTATATGTCTCTTCATCTGTGTCTGTAGATCCTGAAAAAAAAAAAAAAAACAAACTCAGATAGCAGATGATGAAGTCATCATCCATGTATTAAAGGAATGCTCTTTAATAGGCATATGTTCCCACTCTTTGAAACTGATGTCACGGAACGAATAAAATCCTTTTTTTTTTTTTTTTGTATTTTCACACAGTTAAGGCAAATATGTGGTCTTATCAGGATAAGTTTTCGGTTTCAGTGGTTACAGCTCAACTATGTAGCTGGAACGACAACCTTGCCATGCATATTCTGTTTATTGGAGAGGCAACAAAGTCCCGGGATTTAAAGTGCAATAAACTGCCACATTCAAAGCCTGGCTCTCCTGCTTCCTATGATTATGAACTTGTTCTAATTATTTTGTCAACACACAGTGAGGAGAAAGCTGGGTGAATTTATTTGAACTCGATTCCATTAAACAAATAATTGCTGAGTACTTGTTACGTTTCAGAAGTTGTGCTTGGCCCTGCAGAGCCTCAGAGATGAACAGGACACGGTAGCTGTGCCCCAACAGCTTATTGAGAAGAGAGGATAACTATATATATATAGACATATACAGTATATATATATATATATATATATATATATATATATGACTGTAGCACAAGGTGATAGGTGAGAAGTCCCGTGAAAGAATCACCAATAATTGTTCTGGGAAGGAGAGTGGGGAAAGCCCAGATTGGGTAGGAGGGACTAGGAAGAGTCACAGGAAGAGGGCAGTGATGGTGGCAGGAGGAAGTGGAAGGTAGGGCAGGGCGTTGCCTAGGAACGTAGAGTAGAAGCTAGAAAAAAGGGCCTGCTGAGAGAATATGAAGTGATCTGCTCTGGTAGATACATAAACACTGGGAGAAATAAGACGAGAAATCAAAGCAGAATCTGGAATGCTGGGTGTGGGAGTCCTTACTTAACTCCAAAAGCAATAAACATGGGCAACATTCACTGATATGTCCCAAGTGCCTCTGGAAGCTTCTAGAAAGAGATGAAATACTGGCTTAAACTCTAGATGCAAAGATACTAAATCGGTAGGCAGCAACATTATGAGTTTTCTTATGTGAAAATAGCAGATTAAACTTTGAATAGAAATTTATAAATTAATTTACAATTTTTTAAGAATGTGTTGGAACTTTATCACATTTTACCAAGCAGCAGCCTCTCTGAAAGACCTTTTTTGCAGGAATTGAAATAATTAAATTGAAGATTCAGTGTACCTTTTCAATCATTTTATTAAAAAACTCATTCTGGTTTTCTCTGAGGGAGAGATAAACCACTGCTTAAGGAAGTGGCTAAATCTTTTTTTAAACTACTGTATTCACCATAAAATATATGACACTATTCCCAAATAACACCTAATAGAAGCTGGTCACCTCAAAATCAGAAAAAAAAAACCCTGCCGTTTCCAAACCACTTTTTGTATTCGTCTATAAACCAGATGTTGGAAGTACAAAGGTGATTGAGATGTAATCTAGAACGGAAGAAGAAGAGCATAAAAAAATCGTTACAGCTCACTAATGAAGGAATCCACGGTGTGCCTGGGGTGGGGAAGGAGGGCTTAGCACAGTTTTACTGAAGTAATATTTGCTTTGGGTCCTGAAGGTAATAGGAGCCATCATGTGAATGTGTGGTCGTGAGCATGTTCTTTCTCGACTGAAGGAATAGTGGATGCGAATGCGTGAAATGAAGGCAAGCACAAGTAACTAATTGCAGGAGAACAAATGGCTCAGTGTGTCTGGGTATCAGAAAAGCTGGTGGAGGTGTTTACGCAGGGCAATGACGTGCTCGATGGGTCCTCTAGGTTGACAGTCACGGCGGGGGTGTAGATGTAGGTAAGGAGAACCAGTGAGAGATGCCAGCGATAGTTCAGATGAGAAATGACAAAGGATGAGACCTGTAGTTAACCATGGCATTGAGAATAACTACTAAATGAGCTATGCAGCCCACGAGAAAACTATTTATATACGGATTGCATTTATCAAGATTCATGTGTGCGTTATAAGTTTGAGTGACTGAAGAAATACAGGTAGATGTAGCTGGTAGATGGTTGGAAATAGACACCTGGGAGTCAGAGAACAGGAAAGAATGTTGATTTGACAGAGATTAGAAAATAAGTTGTAGTTGGAGCTATGGAAGGGGATGGCCATCCAGCAGAGGGTATAGAAAAGCTTTTACAGACTTGGAGGCCAGCACTGTGTCTGGCATATACAAAGGACTCACTTTATTTGTTGAATGGATGACCGATTGAATGAGAAAACAGATGAATGTCTACCATTCCCTCCCGGAACATTCCTTCCTTGGAATCGAGGACTCCCCGTTCCCTTGATTTCTCTTATTTCCCTGTTTCTTGTCATATTGCTTTTTCTACCTGTTTTTTTCTCTTCATGTGGATGCTCCCCAGTTATCTATCCACAAAGACAAATATAAGGCAGGATCTCTTCACTTAAAGGCTTCACCATCTAACAAGGAACCAATTTTTAAAGCCCCAAGAAAGTCAAGAAATGTGAGAAATTAAGAGTGCCCGGGGAAATGCACAGGTATATATTCAATGGAGGCCTTAGAACAGTTTCAATAGAAAATATTTCAGGAATGGAAATCCAGATTGCTGTGGGTTGAAGAATAAATTGGAAGGTGAAGAGGGACAGACAAGGAATCATTTTAAGAAGCTTAGTAACAATAGGGTGGACGGAGATAGAGCTGTATCTGCAAGGGGGGCATTTCAAATGTTTTGTTGAGGGAAAAGGGGTCTGGGCATGAAAGAGTTGAATGTCCTTTGGATCAAGAACCCAACAAAACATAACAAATATTGTCTTTGACCTCAAGGAGCTAATTGTTTATTGTAGAAAGCAGATATGTGAATTGTCTGGGAAGGTAGAGTATGATAGATTTCATGACCCGCCTGTGCCAGCTGGAGGGTCTGAAATGCTGTCCTGAAGGAATAATGATTCGATGCCTGATCTGAGTCTAAAAGAGAAATGGGAGCTTTTCGTGTAGATACCAAGGGAAGGGGATGCTGGGTAGAGGAAATAGTGGGAACAAAGGCACAGGAATATTAAAACCATAAATGTTACAAGTCATTTGTCATTTTCTCCCAGCCTGTGGAATGTATTTTCATTTCATTGGCAATGACTTCTGAAAAGCAAGGTTTTAATTTTCCTAAAATTCAATTTATCAAAGTGCACTTTGTATCCTAAGGAAGCTTTGTTTAATCCAAGTCAGATTTTATCCTCTATTTTCTTGTATTATTTTTATAGTTTGAGCTCTTTAATTTGGGTCTATGCTCTGTTTAGAGTTAACTTTTGTGTAGGGTGTGATGTAAGGGTTTATTTTTACACTAGGGTATCTAATTATTCCAGCAGAATTTGTTGAAAAAATATCATGTTTTCATTGCATTACCTTGTCACTTTTGTTTAAAATCAATTAACTATGTGTTTTTGGGTCCATTTCCAGACTTTTGTTTTGTTCAATTTATTTATACGCCTATCATTATGCCAACATCATGTGGACTTCGCTATTGTAGTTTTTCTGTAAGTCTTAAAATCAAGTGGTGTAATTTTTCCAACTTTACTCTTTAAAAATTGTTTTGGTCCTTTGCACTTCCATAAAAATGTTAAAATAAGTTTCTTATTTTCAACAAAAAAAGGCTAAACTTTTTATTGGGGTTTCATTGAATCTATAGATCATTTTGAGCAGAGTGATATCTTAACTATATTAAAGTCCTCATACTATGAACATGGTATAGCTCTCCATTTATTTAGGTCTGCTTTAATTTCACTCAGCACTGTTTTTGCAATTTTTAGTGCACAGGTTTTATATAGTTTGTGGGATTTATACCTAAGAATTTCATATTTTTTATCATAAATACTTTTTTAATGTCCAATTGTTTGCTGTTTGTATAAAGAAATAGATTTTTTTTTTCATACTGACCTGGTATCCTGCAACCTTGCCAAAGTTACTTATTACTTTTTTTATAGACTCTGATAAAGGACTACATCCAGAATATATAAAGAACTTCAGCAAATCAGTAATAAATGGACAAACACCCTGATCTTACAAAGGCAAAAGCTTTTAGCAAACTCTTTATCAAAGAAGATATACTAGTGACAAACATATGAAAAGATCATTAGTCATCAGCAAGATGTAAATTTAAAAGTATAAATATATAATTACAAATCCACTTGAATGGTTGACCTCAAAAAGATTAACAATGCCAAGTGTTGGTAAGGATTTACGGCAATCACATCTCTTAGACTTTACTTGTAGGAATGAAATAGGGTACAGTCACTTCTGAAATCAAACTGGCAGCTTCTTATACATTGAAAAATGCATTTGCTACACAACCTAACTTTCACATCCCTGGATACTCACCCACAGAAAATGAAAACATGTGTCCAGACAGGTATTTGTACTTGGATTTTCACAGCAGCCCTATTCCTTGTAGTTAAAACTGGATAAAGAAAACTGTCACATTCACAATGGAATATTACTCAGCAATAAAAAGGAGCAAGATACTAATAGACATAACAATGTGGATGAATTTCAAACACATTATGATAAAGGAAAAAAATCAGACAGAAAAGACCACATAGTAAAAGATTCCACTTATATAACGTTCCAGAAAAAAAAAAAACAAAACTACAGCAACAAAATCAGGTCAAGAGTTTCTTGGGGTCTGGGTTTGGGGGAAAGAATTGACTACAAAGGGACCCAAGGGGACTTTCTGAGCTAATGGAGATGCTCTGTATATGATTGTGGTGCTGCTTCACAAATTTCTGGAAACTCATCAAATATACATTTAAAATCAGTGGATTTTGGGGCGCCTGGATGGCTCAGTCAGTTAAGCATCCGATTTCGGCTCAGGTCATGATCTCGCGATCTGGGAGTTTGAGCCCTACATCGGGCTCCGTGCTGACGGCTCAGAGCCTGCAGCCTGCTTCAGATTCTGTGTCTCCCTCTCTCTGACCCTCCCCCGTTCATGCTCTGTCTCAAAAATCAATAAACGTTAAAAAATAAAATAAGTGGATTTTTTATTATACGTAAGTTGTTCCTTGACAGATTGCTTCAAAAGAAATCTGGTGAATTTAAGTTATTAAGACTGTAAGACTGTATAATCCACTATCCGAGACTCTACAGGCCAAATGTGTTTTTGGTGGTGTTTTTCAAATGTGTTTTGAAGTTCACAATTTGTGAAAAATTTGCGGAAGCTTATATAGTATATTACATAACTGTCCTTGATGCAGGGGTTGTTGTAGCATCTCATAATCAAACACAGTACTATTTCTGCAACAAAACATATTCCCAGAGTGGGATCAATACATTCTATAAAGAGCCTCTTGTCAGTTTAGAGGAGACGTTACCTCTAGATTTTGCTGCTAGAGGTATAATGAAACAACTTAGAGTTTTCAGAGCTT